TCAAATATTCAAAGACCAAGCCAAAAGAACCTAAATGAAAACCCAGCCAGGTGTGGTGGCACATACCTGTAATCCCAGCTACTCAGGAGACTGAGGCAGGAGGATTGCAAGTTCAAGGACAGCCTCAGCAAGTCAGTAAGATCCTGTCTCAAAATAAAAAGGCTTGGGACTCAGGAAGTAGAACATTTGCCTAGCATGTTTGGTCCCTAATACCAGAATAAAAAGGAAAAGAAAACAGAAGACAAGCTTCAGCCACAATCTCCCTCGAGAAGAGCCTTGTGGGCATTGTTGGGAAGCTGTTTTCACTCCTGATGCAAATAAGACAGACCATCCCTGACATCTCATGCACAGCATCGTCTTTCAAAGTGAGGAGGTCATCAAGACTGGCTCGATGACTAGTCGGGACCTAGTTCAATGCCTGACGTATACATGGAGAAACTACTGTTCAATTTCAGCTCTTTTTTTTTTTTTTAAGTTTTAGGTTTTTTTTTTTAATTTTATTCTAATTTGTTATATATGACAGCAGGATGCATTACAATTCATATTACACATATAGAGCACAATTTTTTCATATCTCTGGTTGTATACAAAGTATATTCACACCATTAGTGTCTTCTACATATACTTTGGGTAATTATGTCCATCTCATTCCACAATCGTTTTTACCCCCCTGTCCCCTCCCTTCCCCGACCTCCCCTTTACCCTATCTAAAGTTCATCTAATTTTCCCATGCTCCCCCTCCCAACCCCACTATGAATCAGCCTCCTTATATCACAGGAGACATTTGGCATTTGGTTTTTTAGATTGGCTTACTTCCCTTTGCATTATGTTCTCCAGCTCCAACCCTTTACCTACAAATGCCAATCAATTTTAGCTCTTTTTTTAAGTAATTATGAGGCCTATGATAACCAGGGATTCTAAACATTTCAGAAATCTTGACAAAAATCAAGTGCTTCTCCTCGTAACTCTGCATGGGCTGAAGTATTTATTTTTCAGGTGTTGAATCAACCCAGTGAGGAAAAAAACAAAGCAACACAAAACCACTTCTCTTGTGGGGACCAAGGACTCTCACCAGCAGTCATTGTGTCTGTTAAAAAATCAGTAAAAATGGGGAAGATTAACCAAATAGAGTTTATTTGAATGAGTAAACTCTTCTAAACCAGGGAGGTTAGAGGAAATTAGCTGTAATTTCTCAATTTAAAGTTTGGTTTCTTTTAACTAAGGGATCTCCACATTCTTTTCCAGTCTTGGATTTTTAACTTGTTTTAAACTCTCCTTGAACATGGTAAATTGGGTGAGAAAAAAATTAGAACGTATAAAAGGGTGTTTGAACGATTGTCTTTTAACGTCCTTTAAAAATGCATTGGCTTGTAGTTCCACCTGATGGACAGCCATTTGCCCTCACCATGGCCACCAGGCTGAGGTTTCTGCTTCTTTGCTCTTGGACTTCACAGGCATGATCGACAGCCTGCTGTCCCCAGATCTTATTGACGGCATGCTCACCAAAATGGTCCTCGTCAACGCAGTGTATTTTAAGGGTTTGTGGAAATCGCGGTTTCAACCTGAGAACACCAAGAAGCGAACATTCGTGACAGCAGACGGGAAATCCCACCAAGTGCCAATGCTGGCCCAGCTCTCCGTGTTCCGGACTGGTAAGTTCTTGCTGGGTGACGCCTGTCCTAGCACATGCTCGTGGCAGGAAGCTCTGGAGGGCTTTAACTTATTCAGGAGCAAATCTTAAGTTTTACTTTTTAAAGTAAAGGGGCAGCGTAGGGTACTAAAACTTGGGATTTTTAAAAGTGCATGGTAAATCATTGTACTATGCACAAAGATTTTGTATTAATACATAATGGGTAGGGTTTTGACTGAAAAAGATGAAAGGATAATTCATGAAATAGGGATAAATGGGCACTAAACACATGCAAGGATTATCAAGTCGTTGGTAGTCTTATATTTCTAAGTTAAAAGTGAAGGTAAAAATTAAGTTTATTTTTCATTTAACATATCAATAAAAATTAGGATTGGTAAAACCCGGGGATGCTCTGGGGTTGGGGGAAGAGGGCCTCCTGAGCTTGTATGGTGTTGGGGTTGGTGCTTGTCCCAGCTCCCCACTCCAGGGAAGATAATCACCCTCTAGCAAATAAGTAGAAGTCGGCTATCAACATAAGAGTCAACCCTCATATCTGACATTCCGTATCTTCAGGTTCTATCAATCTCACATTGAAAATATTTTTTAAAAAATGCGTGTGTTGATATTTTTACTTGTGATTATTCCCTGAACAAAACAGGAAGTATCACAACTATTTATATAGCCTTTTTCATCATATTAAGCATCATAAGCTAGAAATGATTTGAAGTGGATAGGAAGATATGTGTAGTACTTCATGGATTTATATAAAGGACTCGAGCATTTGTGGATTTTGTTGTCCTTGGGAATCCCAGAACTGATGCTCTGAGGATAATGGAGTGTTGTGATAATTAGACTTAGATTTACGTAAATAAAAAAGACTGTACAATATATGTTTGATTTCAGAAAACAAGCTATGAAGCAGCAAATGCTGATGAACCTTATTTAAACTGCTTTGCAAATCCTCATGTCTGTAGAAAGATGTCTTGAAGGATGTTCACAGTGGTAGGATTTCAAATAATTTTTTTATTTGCATTTGAAATTTCTTTTAATGTGCAGTTATCAGTTTAACAGGGGAAAATATAATCACTGACGTCTTCCGCTGTACCCAAGTCAGACGTAGGTACCCAAGGGTCGTGGTTTCTACTTCTCATTCACTGAAGCACTCTTGATCTGATAACATCTTTGTTTTTCTTTTGCAAGGTAGACGTTGTAGCTGTAGGGTACACCTGATATGGGAGTCCTAAGTGTTACTTTCTCATGTTCAGGATGCATCAGCTCCAAACAGCCAGACGTTTTGCCAGCTGCCTGATTCAGATTGAAGTTAAGGAGTGGTTCATGGGGCCACAGTCTACTTTACTTTTCCTATTGATCGTTCATTATCAGTTAAGCTTCTAGGGAAAAAAAATGCCAAATTGTTTTAGTCAATAAATGTTTTTTTTAAATGTGTGTTTTAAGTACAATGCGTTCTTAAAACCCCCATGGGAAAGTATTGTACAATGCAGCTGAGCATAATAAATGCCTCCTTTTAAAAAAATTATTGATGCATTATAATTATAGATATTAGAGGGATTCATTGTTACATATTCATACATGCACACCACATAATTTGGCCAGTTTTGTTGCCCAGTACCTCCCTTCTTCCTCCCCCTGGTTTGCCCTCTCTTCTCTACTAGTCTCCTATTTTCATGTAATCCCTCCCCTTTATGTCCTTTTTTCTCTGTAGCTTCCACATATGAGAGAAAACACATGACCCTTGACCTTCCGAGTTTGGCTTATTTCAGTTAACATAATGGTCTCGAGTTTCATTTATTTCCCTGAAAGCAACATAATTTCATTCTTCCTTGTGGCTTAATAAAACTCTATTATGTATATATACCACATTCTGTTTATCCATTCATCCGTTGATGGACACCTAGGCTGGTTTCATAGTTTGGCTATTGTGAATTGTGCTACTGTAAACATGTAATACTGTAGTATGATGACTTAATTCTTTTTTTAATTTTTTATTCTTATTTGTTATATATGACAGTGGAATACATTGCAACTCATATAGAGAGAGCACAATTTTTTATATCTCTGTGTACAAAGTGTATTCACACCATTGGTGTCTTTATACATGTACTTTGGATAATGATGGCCATCTCATTCCACCATTATTTCTAACCCCATGCCCCCTCCCTTTCCCTTCCACCCCTTTGTCCTATCTAGAATCCGTCTATTCCTCCCTCCCATGCTCCCTCTCCCAACCTCACTATGAATCAGCCTCCATATATCAGAGAAAACATTCGGTATTTTTGGGAGGTGAATGGCTAACTTCACTTAGCATTATCTTCTCCATCTCCATCCATTTACCTGCAAATGCCATGATTTTATTCTCTTTTATTGCTGAGTAATATTCCTTTGTGTGTATATACCACATTTTTTTTCAGTCCATTCATCTACTGAAGGGCATCTAGATTGGTTCCACAATTTAGCTATTGTGAATTGTACTACTGCAAACATTAATGTGCCTGTGTCCCTGTAGAGTGCTATTTTTAAATCCTTTGGGTATAGATCAAGGAGAGGGATAGCTGGATCAAATGGTGGTTCCATTCCCAGTTTTCTAAGGAATCTCCATACTGCTTTCCGCATTGGCTGCACCAATTTGCAGTGCCACCAGCAATGTATGAGTGTGCCTTTTCCCCACATCCTCACCAACACTTATGGTTGTTTGTATTCTTAATAGCTGCTATTCTAACTGGAGTGATATGAAATCTTAGAGTAGTTTTAATTTTCATTTCTCTAATTGCTAGAGATGATGAACATTTTTTCATATATTTGTTGATTGATAGTATATCATCTTCTGAGAAGTGTCTGTTCAGGTCCTTGGCCTATTTATTGACTGGATTATTTGTTTGTTTGTTTGTTTGTTTGGGGTTTTTTTTTTAGCTTTTTGAGTTCATTTATTTGTTGATTTTTTTTTCTTTTTTAAGGAATGAACTCTATGCAATGAACTTTCCTCTTAGTACTGCCTTCATAGTATCCCAGAGACTTCTATATGTTGTGTCAGTGTTCTTATTTACCTTTAAGAATTTTTTAATCTCCTCCTTGATGTCTTTTGCAACCCACTGTTTATTCAGTAACACATTATTTAGCCTCCGGGTGTTGGAGTCATTTTTATTTTTTATTTTGTCATTGATTTCTAATTTCATTCCATTATGATCTGATAAAATGCAGGGTAGTATCCCTACTTTTTTGTATTTGCTGAGAGTTACTTTGTGGCATATTATATGGTCTGTTTTAGAGAAGGATCCATGTGCTGCTGAGAAGAAAGTATATTTGCTTGTTTTTGAAGGATGAAATATTCTATATATGTCAGTTAAATATAAGTTATTGATTGTACTATTGAGTTCTATAGTTTCTTTGTTCAGTTTTTGTTTTGGAAGATCTATCCAGTGGTGAGAGAGTTGTATTAAAATTACCCAAGATTATTGTTTTGTGGTCAATCTGACTATTGACCTTGAGAAGAATTTGTTTGATGAACACAGATGCTCCATTGTTTGGGGCATATCTATTTATAATTGTTATGTTTTGTTGGTGTATGGTTCCCTTGAGCAGTATGAAATGTCCTTCTTTATTCCTTTTGATTAACTTTGGCTTGAATGCTATTTTTTTTTTATTTGAGGATGGAAATTCCTGCTTGCTTCCGTAGTCCATGTGAGTGGTGTGATTTTTCCCAACCTTTCACCTTCGGTCTGTGGATGTCTTTTCCTATCAGATGAGTGATGACTTCATTCTTTAGGATAATACCCAGGGATAGCTGGCTCTATACCTAGTCTTTAGACTCTCTGTACTGTAAGTGGTTCCTTTTGCTTGAAAATGATTTCCACTTTCTGGTCACATTGAGCTTCCGGCCAGGGCCCTGCTGCCTGAGAAGACTTCATTGAAACACTGATGCTACCCCCAGACTCAGCAGTTTTATTTTAGGTCATCTTTTGTACATACTCTGCATTCTATTAAAAATTAAAAGTGAGGTGTTCTCACTGTATGGTTTTTTTTTTTTTTTGTTATTGTTGTTGCTGAAAAACAAGCCAGTATTCAAAGATTAATATGCAAGGATTTTTAGGCATATGTGTGCAAGATTCAAATGTTTGCTTTCATAGAAATATAACGTTTTTTAGTAAATGGACTGCACCTAGAGAGGAACACCTCAGGGTAGCTTTTCAATTAAGAACTGATTTGTTCAAGAAAATGTGTGTGTATTAAAGAAAATGATAAATAAATGTATTCTTATCATCAGTTATGCCACTCGACAGAACCACAGTGTGTGTGCTCATGTCTTCCCTCTGCCTCCTGGATACGTGCCCTCCCTTCTCTGCCCCCCCAAGTCTGCTTCGGTGGACTCCTTTGCCCTCTGGCTTCCTGTGGCGTTGGCTAGTGGGGAGCTGCTGGCTAGAGGGGGGTGAAGGAAGGAGAGGGTTTGGGGCCTTGACTTCCCAGCCCTGTTCCTGCAGCACTACACCTTGCTCCACTGAAGATCTGTCCTGACGAGGGGGTGCCCAGGCAGTCCTTCTGGGTCACTGCCCGAAGGCTGGCAGTGGTGCCCACTGTGTGCTGTGTAGGGTGCCATCTCTAACAGCTTCTCTATCCTGCCCCTGCTTTGTAAGTAATGCTGTCTTTAAAGTCTGCTGAAATGACCCTGTCTGGTGTCTTTCTGTTTCCTGTCCCTGACTGGTCTGCTCTGAGCCAGAACTGAGCCTGAGCCTCTCCTCCTTGCTCCTTTGCACACACACACACACACACACACACACACACACACACACACACACAGGGAAGCGCCTCCCGTGTCCTCCTCCCCAGCCTCTCTGTGCCGTCGGGAGTTTGCTGAGTAGTGTGGAACTAGACCCAGCTGCTTTCATGGGCCATGCTGCAGTGCACCAGGGTGTCCTGTGTGGCCTGGCTCTCGCCCTGCCACCAGAGGGACTTTCGCCATGATGGGCAGGCTTGTCCTGACCGGGCAGGAGGAGCACAGAAGCTGTGGTG